TGATGTACAAATTACGCAACGGAACCAGTTCATAATAAATTACTCATACGAATGTAAAAAATTGTAGCAATTCAACAATAAAAAAGAAAAAATTTATAAATTTTTCGATTACTTTTTAAATTACTTTGAGGAATGCAATTGGAAAAAATTTTGTTTTTCGAATTCCTTTGAACTGAATTGAAAAAAAAGGAATTGAGAAAAAATTACATTACTAGCACGTAATTTATTCCAATTACAATATGAAATTTCTTTTAAGGGATTTCAAAAAAAAAAATTATAATTACATTTGGAATTACTTCTAAGGAATTGAAAACGTAATCAATTCCTTTGTTGTGAACTGAAGGAATTGATTCCTAATTACAAATACTGAGGAATGTAATAGTAATTGTAGTGTAATTTTATTTACCTAGCTCTGGTGAAGGTGAGGTGAGGTGAGTTTTTTTTTTCCTTTGGTCTCTCCACGCTACCCGCGTATCGAGAAAGTATATTATTTTTAAATATATTATTAATAATATTCACTTAATGCTATTGTTAAATTTATTGATACATTAGCAATACATCATATAGTTGCTTTATCCTTTAACTATGGAGGTGAGTTTTTTGGACATAGTCTATGACCTGGTGGTAAATTTTACCCCTTCGAATTTTAGTTAGAAATTTGAATACAAATTGGTGATTTTATAATTACTTTTTCTTTTAAACTAAGCTACTAGATTTTTAAGTTAAAATAAATACAAAGTTTTGTTTTTTATTTCTTTTAATATCAACGAAAGTCCCACTTCATTTCACAAGGCTATTATTATTCACAAGAACGAAAACATCACATAGTAAACTTAAAAAAACAAAAAAAAGTGTAAAATAAAAATTAATCTAAAACTTAAGGGGCACCTTTTCACAGCAAAACATATATATTTGAATAAATACAAGAGATCATCTTAAAAAAATGTAAATGTAAAAAATACATGTCAACCGTCCATGAAAGAAAAAGTTGCATAAATGTTGAGGAGTGGTAATATTTACACCGGCATCAGCATTTTTCCACCCCCGCTACACCTTCCACAGCAAGAACATAACTGATCAATAAACGACAACAAAATGAGAAGATACTGAGAGAATCAAGTTGCTGGAGCGCAACATAGGAGAGTAGTTCAAACAAATTTAAAGAGGGGGTAAATTTTACCACCACCTCCACAGTTAAAGGTTATACATTTTTTCGAAATTTTTGTGCTCTTTGTTACTGGCAAATGCATTCTTTATGGCTTACTGAGTTATATCTTCATCATAAACAAATTTTTGCATTAATTCTTTTAAAAAGGTAAAAATTCCTTAAATGACTCTGTGAAGTGTTTACGTAGGCTGGCTGCTGCCATGTCGGAGATTTGAAAAATGCTTGCGCCGGTTTATAATCGTATTTTACGTTTGGCATAACTTAAAGGCTCATTGCCTTTTATTCCCAGATGTGCTTTAATTTAGAAAAACTCAACGGACCGATGTTGTTTGAAGTGAAACAGACGATTGCGGATCGACGATATGAGGGACATGTCGTTGCTTCTGTTTTTTTAAGGAATGCAAGATTACGCCGATTGCAGCAGAATTCGTGAGAGTAATTTTGGCGTGACGTCATCGTAGAGTTGGCAACTGAGGGCGGCTAATAAAACTGCTCTCTAGTGATGTGCTGTATTGTCGGTACCCAATACTTCCTTTTCGGTACCCGATACTTTACATTAAGCCTTCGCCATTATATGTATTTCAAGTATAGAAAAAACTGTCATTACTAATTTATATCATATATGCTAAAACACTTGAACTTATCGCAACAGAGAAATATTATTTTATCAGTTTTAACCTTAGTCGATGCAAGGTTCAAGAAAAATGCTGGCACGGTTTTTGGCCACTGCACGGTGAATTCCACTCTCCGCACGCATAGACTTCTGCATATGGAACCATGCTCCAGCCTGTATTTATCACCTTCACCTTTATTCTTATATTAAGTAAACCCTAAATTTGTATTGCTATTTTCATCTAAACCCTTCTCCTTTGCTTCATCTACATATTCATATTTTCCTGTGTTTTTAACCCGCTGCTTAACCATTTCTTAAATTGGGTATCGATATTATCCCAGTACCATCACTTCATTACAACCGCTAAAGAAGTTTCCATTGTACAGTTTTTAGCTCTTACCGTAGCTAAATTTGGCATTGCTTATTAATGAATTAGTTAACTAAGACTTATATCATAAATTATATTTTAATATTTAATACAAATACTTACCTATTCAATTGCCTATTCTCCTTTCAGAGACACTTCGTAAGTATACCGTTCTAGCAGTGCTTCCTCGCATCTCAATTGAAGAGTACACGATACCCGGAACGAATATAAAACTCGAAAAGGGAACCCACATTGCTGTACCTATCAATGCCATACACCATGATCCTGAAATATATGAAAGTCCACACGAATTTCGTCCAGAACGTTTCGCGCCAGAAGAACTACAAAAACGTCATCCGCAGGCCTTTCTCGGTTTCGGCGATGGACCGCGCAATTGTATTGGCCTACGTTTTGCACGCATGCAAGTGCGTGTTGGATTGATAACACTGTTGAAATCTTATCGCTTTACCTTTTCGGAGAAGACACCGCCCAGAATAGATATTATGAAGAAGGGTTTAGTTCTTGTGCCAGATAATATCGTATGGCTAAGGGCAACAAAGCTGTAAAAATTATAGAAAAGTAAACAAATTAACCAACTAAATATAAGGAAGCATTGTTGTAGTAAAAGTTTTGTATAACCCAAAATAGAGCGATGTATATGTATAAACATAAAAGAAATAATTTCCAATATAAACTTAAGTAATCTTAATTTACACTTACTATACTAAGTAATCTACCTGTTTACTATGTAGCAACAATTCCGTTACTGGTCATAAAAATTATAACTTGAAAAACAAATCAAACATTAATTGTTAATTTGTATACACATCTACACACATATGAGGGTTGTTGCGAATTTTCGCATTCGCATTCGCAATTGCGGAGCATCCGCATTAATTTTAACATTCACATTCACTTTCGCATTCGCAATAATTAATGCGGAGCTTTTGCGAAAAACCTGACACATCTGGTTTGGCTTGGAAGCGCTGTTAAAACAACGATCTCGCCATTATGCTAGATTCTTCAAGTGAAGATGAAAGTCAGAAGGATACATCCGACATTTTCATTCTATTCTATTAGATACATATAATGTTCCAATTTTTAAATTCAAGTACTAAATAAAATAAGCATTATTAAATATTACTGAATTCTAAATTTTTTATTTACCTAAATAACTTAATTTTCTTACCTACATAGTTGTTTCTTAAAAATACTTTACATCCGCATTCGCATTCGCATACGCGGATGTCTAAAATTTCACATTCGTAACATCCCTAATACATATGTAACTCGAAATCAAGACTATTTGTTGATAACTTATTAACCCGCCACGAAGTTGGAGTTTTTAGTTTTTAAAGGAATTTTCAGTGCACATGAACATTTGAAGAATGTGCAGCGTTACCTCTATTCTCGTAGAGTCCGGAGTAGGGTGCTCCCTAATATATATCAATATCTAAATTTTTTTATGGGACACCCTTTTGTTTGACGCGTATTTTTTATTATCGTTCCAATGCAGTACTAATTGGCATTTATCGGACTTGTCATTTTTCTACTCAGTAATAAAATAAGACATGAAACTTAGTCATAATTAGAGATTTATAACAGAAAACTACACACTCTGTGGCATCAAGACAGTAACGAACCTAGAGCTCAGCGCTTTAGCCACCTCCCGATGAAATAGCTGACAGCAGTATCGGGGGAGAGGTACTTATTAGACGGCAGAAGGTTAAGTTCGGGAACGGGTTTGACTTTAGACTTCATATGCTTCCTTCTCAGAAAAAAAGGCATCCTTATGTGGGTGTTTCGACCTTTGAACCTACAAAGTCTCTTTTTATCTTTGAGTGTGCTGATATCATTATGTGCAAACTCATTCACCCCGTGCAATCTTACACTTTTCTTTAATAGAATATTATCTTCAAAATGATTTTTTTTTTATGGTAGAAATACAATCGGAATCTTTCCGCTGCCTGCCAGTTAGTAAACATTTCTCCAGCTAAAGTCGTTAGATGAAGCCTTTACGCACAAAGATTAAGCAGTAGGCGCCTTCCTTGAAGTAGTAAACAGAAAAAATTAACTCAGTATAACCATGGTAAACTGTCGAATGTGCAAAAATGCTTTTTCATTTGAATGAGACTTAAGTTGGCAAATCGTCGAATATCTAGTGTTCTTAGAAGTAGAGATACTGGCTCTAACAAAGTGTTGAATCCTCGATTTTTTTTTTTATTCCAAAAAATTTCAATATTTCAAAAACTTGTTTGCTTATTAGGGAGCAATTATTGAATTAGTATAAGTACAAAAATCCAGATTGTATCTACTTGTTATTATAAAATAAAATATTTGCTTTTTTCTCAAACCCCAAGTGCGTGTGTTAACAATAGTTACATTAATTGTTAAACATTACTACATAGTAGTCAAAGCTATTTGCTTATGAGGTTTACTAACTGAATAAGACCAAAATTACAAAAAGTCTTAACCTACTGCTATTTCAATTTAACCACCATCAAGCTTCGCTAACTACAAACGAGCCATCATTTGGCACACACTTACACAAATACGTACAATTATTTTCCGGTAAAAGCTTTTAAGTTTGAAAGCACTGTTAGCCTAGTTTATTGCCAAGAAAGCTTTGTTGCTTTGACGTTAGAAGCTTTTAAAAGCTTTGATTTCTGAATCGCATCGCCTTAAAGCTTTTTAAAAACTTTTATGTTAAAGCAATGCAAAGCTTACAGAGTACTGTTGTTAACAGAAATACGAGAACATATTACCTTTCATATTGGGTTACCTTTCAAAAGCAAAATCCTTCATTCACTGCTAGCCATTGCCAGAAGATACCTCGAAAAACAATTGCCAAACATTTTATAAACTTTCGAGGCTAACTAGTCGCGAACCACACCTACGAAAAGTATTTAGTTCGTAAATTTCAGTGTTGCCTTTTGGTCTATTAATTCATACAATTTACATTTTTCAATTTTTTCACGTTGCATTTGGAATGTTTTTCTTTTATATTTACTTCAGCTCATAGCATGTGTTATACAAAAACAAACTCTGACTGAACTGCCAAATTACTGAATCTCGGGATTATTTTCGAAGTTTTCGAGTTTTCTACTCTTCGCGCTTAACCCTGTAACCGAGTTGCTGCAAGGAGGAGAGTTGCATTTCCTTTAAAAGTTTTAAGTGGTGCATTTTTTCATACTTACAGGAGGAAATATCTTTTAATAGCATGGTGCTGTTAAAATTTCCTAAAACAAAATCTCTGAAAGGGCGCAAAAGTCACATAGTTTTGAAAAGGGGCCAAAAAATCTTCAAAAATTCAGGTCAAAGGGTATTGGCGCCTAAAAAGGGTCAAATTGCCCCTTTGGTCGCGTGAATTATTTAGGAGACAGTAGGCAAGAGATCCTGGAAAGTTTAATAGAAACCGATTTTGGCTATGCAGATAAGCTGCTCATCTATGTGGTGGCTGTAATATTGATTGTAGATTCCAGACAGCCTTAAAACTGATTGAGAAATGGTGCGCTGAAAAGAGTGTATCAATAATTGTCCTAAAGCTCACCAAAAGAAGCAAAGTCAACGTAACTTAATCCCAACCGGAAATTTCGAAGATTTGGTTATCGCAAGAGGGGTAGATTAAGGTTTAATTTAAACAGTTAAAGTCTTTGTAGAAAGTGAAATGGGGCCAAGATAAATATCTTGTCTGACAGTCATCAAGACTTTTGGACAGCTAAAAGACTCTATTGATTGTTTAATTGAGCACGCAAAACTGGGTAAGGGAAGCCCTTTGGTTGGTACCGGGACATAAGGGTTTTGATGTCAACGAATGAGTTGACGTTCACGAAAAACGTGGAATGCAACTAGGGTTGCCAACATTTTCTAAGAAATGTATAGTACTTTTTCAAAAAAATCTGAAAAAAATATAGTAAACTTCAAATATACTATATAGTATTTTTTTTTTAAGAAAAAGTAAAAATGCTTTTTAAGTTTTCGTCTTTTTTCTTTCTTATGCATTTCCTCTATAAAAAAATATATTTCTTTGAAAGTATCATATGCTTTATCGCAATCAATATTTAAATTGATATAAATCAAAAGTTCATTTTTTATTAGTGAGATAGTCGCTTTATTTCTCCCATCTGACCATTTCACAATCTTAATAGTAAAAACTCTTTCTGTGAATGCCGAAATTGCTGGAATAGAGAGCATAAGCGAAATAATTTTAGGTAAAAGCTCAATAACACTATTGAAATAAATATGAATACGCCACAATAAAAATTGACTAATTGTAAGTAAATTTTGTAAATCTTCTTAGTTGCAAATTGCTGAAATATATTTACATTTATAACTGAAGGAATATAGTATTTTTGCATACTGTATTTTTTCTAACAGTATATAGTACGCGGACCCAAAAAATAGTACAATACCACAATATAGTACGGTCGGCAACGCTAAATGCAACAGAGCTTACACATCAAAGCTATGGCGGATGACAATCTTGAAACCCACTCCCACTAAATGAATCTCGGAACGACTTCTGAATTTGAGTCCGGAAGGCCTGACCACTTTCACAGACTATCTGAGTAGACTTCATATTCTTTGGCTAGAATATATTATGAGATTTCCCTCGTAGGTATCATATATCTAAGTACCGTTTTCTCATGTATGTTTTAAAATTTGTTTGCCCTTTAAACACAAATTTTGTTCTGAAAAAAACGTCTTTAAAGGGCAGATAAATTTTACAACCTACATAAGAAAACGGCACTAAGACTCTTATATATCGGGGAGCGATTATCGTCTCCGTTCAGAATCTGAGACATGACACCCTCTAAAAGATTTAGTATTAGAAGTTCTTTTAGATTGGAGTGAACTTTTGTAAGGCCAGCACAATAGATATTTTCTTAGGTCGCGTTTATTTGCTCAACTCACACTGAGCCAAAAGCACAATGGTTTTTTAAACCAAGTTATGGTTTCATTTGTCATGATAAATAAGCCGATTGTAAGAAGTGTGATTCAAGTTGATCATTTGAAAACAAATTTGTCTGGCTGTGCAGAGATGCTTGCTGTTATTGTTGACTTCCAGCGGATTCTGGTTCGAATGCCGCCAGAGGCAGTGTAGTGTTTTCTTTTTGTTTTTCTTATTTACGAAAAAGCACCCGTGAAGTGCAGAACATGATCAAACGACAAAGAAAACTTCTTCAAGTTCAACATTTGAAGGTAAATTTGCAGAACCGCTGTGGCTGAATGTGCAGAGATGCTTGCTTTTATTTGCTTTCAGAAGATGCGGGTTCGAATCGTCTCAGAGGCCAAAGTGTTAAAATGATAATAAAAATTTTTGTTTTGTATCCCCCAATTACGAAAAAGTATAACCATACTCAAACCAAAAAAATCAGCAACCAAAAATTTGGTTAATGTGAACAAAAGTGTGGTTAATACTGCCAAATCTTTGTTGAAATTATCATCCATGGCATTGTTAATTAATATCAAACAAAAATCAAAATAAATTCCTCTTAGTATTTAAATTTGGTAATATTAACAAATTTCTGGTTTATTTTTTTCTCAGTGAATTAGTATAAATATTAGGGCGGGTCGATTTGTAAGGGCCCAAAAAAATTAACAGAGGCACATCACGATTATGATTATTTGGTTCATTTCAAGCATTTTTGCCCCCCAAGAAACCAAAGGTCTAAAAGGAATTTTGAGCCAGCG